ATTTATAGTAGAGACGGGGTCTCGCTCTTGCTCAGGCTGGTTTTGAACTCCTGACCTTGAGCAATCCGCCCGCCTCGGCCTCCCAAGAGCTAGGATTACAGGCGTGAGCCACAGCGCCCGGCCTTATATGCAGCTTTTAAAAGAATGAGATGATTAAGTGAAAAGGAGAGAACAAGATTCAGAAGAGTGTTGCTGTTGTCTGAATGTCTGAATGTGTGCCTCTAAAATTTATGTTGAAATCTAATCCTCATTGTGCTGGAATCAAGAGGACAAACCTTTTGGGAAGTGATTAAGTCAAGAGGACTGTGGCCTCATGAATGGAATTAGTGCTTTTGTAAAAGGTTAAAGAGAAGGCTCATGCCTGTGATTATAGCACTTTGGGAGGCCAAGGTGAAAGAATTGTTTGAGGCCAGGAGTTTGAGACCAGCCTAGCTAGGATAATTTTTTCTATTTTTGGTAAAGATGGGGGTCTCTCTTGCTCCGGCTGGTCTTGAACTCCTGATCTCAAGCAATCCTCCTGCCTCAGCCTCCCAGAGTGCTAGGGTTACAGTCCTGAACCACCACCTGGTCTCTTTCTCATATTTTATAAATAGACACACAATATATATTCATAACACTGGAATCATATCATACATGCTTTTAACATTTAAATTTGTATTTTTTTACTTTTCAAATTTTTGTAGAGAAGAGGTCGTTGTGTGGCCTAGGTTGATGTGCTATTCGAAGACACAACCATCACGAATCACAACCTGGAACTCCTGCGCCCAAGTGATCCTCTGGGGGGGAAGGAGGTCACAACAGGAGTGTGACAACAGGAGCGTGACATGGCGGCTCTTTTTTTAAATTTTTAAAAATAAGGTATTTTAAAAACAACTCAGAGACCAGTTAAATTTAACAAAATTTATTTAAGCAAGAAAAAGTTCTAGAACCAAGTAGTGTTACAGACCAGGCAGCTCAGAATTCCCCCACCTCCAACCTGGCGAGCTACGTTCATAACCAAAAACCAGGAACTAACATGTAGAGACTCCCTGATTGATTGGTGCAGTTCTGCGATTACCTTACCTGGGATAATTTGGCCTGGCATTAGCCTGGGATTGGCTGAGGCAGAAGGCTCAGCTACTATGATTGGCTGAGACACAGTTGCTTGGTTACAAGGCCACGCTTCTAGGTTAGGTCACGACTTGTTTACACATCAACGTAAGGTACAGTTCACTGTGTATTAAAGCCCCTCTGGGCTAAACGTTCTTACCCAAGTTAGGCGGATGCTTTGAGCCAAACTTCAATGCATACAACTTGTATTCAGTAAAGAGCAACGGTCTCAGTGCTCAGTGAATTTTTTGCACAGTGCATGCTGTTTTGTAACAGTTTTATCACTTAACAATAAAGTGTGAACATTTCCCGTGTATAAATAAGTTTGTACATTATTTAAAATGACTATGGTATGTAGACACTTCTTTATGAGATTCTTGGACATCTAATTTTTTTTTCAATAATGTTCACCATTATAACTGTGTTTTGGTAACGATGACCATCAATATTGCTATATCTTTGTACACATTCTTTTTTGAGACAGTCTCACTCTGTTGCCTTGGCTAGAGTGTGTTGGTGTCATCATAGCTCAGGGCAACCTCAAATTTCTGGTCTTAAGCCATCCTCATGCCTCAGCCTCTCGAGTAGCTGAGACTACAGGTGCTTGACACCATGCCTGGCTAATTTTTTCTATTTTTTGTAGATACGGGGTCTTGATCTTGCTCAGGGTGGTCTGGAACTCCTGACCTCAGGCAATCCTCCGCCCTCGGCCTCCCAGAGTGCTAGGATTACAGGCGAGCCTGGAATGTCCAGCCTTTGTACACATTCTTGAGTATAATCTTTGAATAAATGCCTAGATACAGAAGTGCTTAGACAAAGATCATGTAAAGGTCTATGACTTTTGATATGCCAATTTCTATTTCAGAAAGTATGTAAAAATTTCTTCTGCTGCCAGAATTTGTTGTGTGTGCAGCATTACACGAATGAGCCACCATACCCGGCCCCAACTTACCATTTTAACCATTTTTAAGTGTACAGTTCAGTGGCATTAAGTACATTTATGTTGTTATGCAACCATCACCACTATCAATCTCCAGAACTTTTTTCCTCTTCCCATACTGACACTGTACCTCTTTTAAAAAATTACTTCGTATTCACCCCTTCCTCTAGTCCCTGCTAACCTCTATCGTACTTTCTGTCTCTATGAATTTGACCACTCTTGGTACCTTATATAAGTGGAATCATACGGCATTTGTCTTTTTGTGACTGGCTTATTTCACTTAACATAATGTCTTCCAGGCACATCCATATTGTAGCATGTGTTAGAATTTCCATCTTTGTTAAGACTGAATAACATTCTTTTCTTTTCTTTTCTTTCTTTCTTTTTTTTTTTTTTTTTTTGAGGCGGACTCTTGCTCTGTTACCTTGCTAGAGTGCAGTGGTGTGATCATAGCTCACCACAACCTCAAATGCTTGGGCTCCAGTGATCCTCCTGGCTCAGCCTCCTTGGTAGCTAGGAGTACAGGTGGGTGCCACCAAACCTGGCTTATTTAAAAATTTTTTTTTGTAGAGATGGGGTCTCATTATGTTGCTCAGGCTGATCTCAAACTCCTGGGCTCAAGCAATCCTTCCACCTAAGATGAATAACATTTCATTGTATAATAAGAATAAACTACATTTATTTATTCATCCATTGATGGACACTTAAGTTGCCTCCACTTTTTGTCTATTGTGAATAGTGCTGCTATGAACATGGGTATATAAATATCTTTTCAAGTCCCTGCTTTCAATTCTTTTGTGTATTTATCTAGAAGTGGAATTGCTGGATCATGTGGTAGTTCTATGTTTACTCTTTTGAGGAACCACCATATGGCTTTCCATAGAGGCAATATTATAATTTAAAGGGCATTCATCAGTGATTCCAACCAAGATTGTGTAATATCCAAATTGACCTCCAAATACTTCAAAGGATGTGGTAAAATTTCCAAAACAAGATTAATTTTACTTTATTTAAAAATTCCATCAGATCTTTTACCAAGACAGCACGTAAAATAATGAATTGGCAAAAATGGCGCTTCAGTGTTTTTTCTTGCTTCTCTTCAGGAATAAACCTTCAAAAAGATGTATATAGTTCGGCTAGAAGAAAAATATTTTTCCCCAGGCAATAATTTATGGGGACGTTAAAAGTGTTAAAGCAGTTAAAGTTTTGTGTCTCTGACCACTCACCTTCTTCTCTAAATCCCAGACTTAAACTAGTTTTTTTAGGGCCAAAATGAACTGAAACAAAGATTGCTTCAACCCACCCTAGACCAGACACATTCCTGAGTGTGAAGAGCCAACCCAGGAGAAATGGCACAAGGATCCAACCCAGGTTATCATACAGTTCTCCTTCTCATTGTCCTAGCACAAATCACTATTTTGAATTATCCTGTTTCTTTTCATGTTTCTTGTCTGTCTTCTTCCATCAGAACATAAGTACCATAAGAATTGAGACTTTGTGTTGTTTACCATGACTTTCCCTACAACAGTGCTGAGCACAAAATAAATCCTCAATAAATAGTTATTGAATGAATACCACACAAATGAAAATGTGCTCCCTAGTATATTTCCTTCTACTCTTAAACTATTTTAAAAATTGTGAAATATCTTAAACACTCAGAAAAGCACTCACTCCTCATATTTAACTCATCCTAAGATTTTACCACATTGGTTCAAATTTTCTTCTGTCCTTTAAAAAACAGAATAAAGACAAAAATATATAAGAGATAGAGAGATGGCTAATGTGTGGAGTTTGTAAAAACAGTCTTTATTAACTCATATTACAAATGATTCACCTGCATCAAGTTAAACTCAAACTACAGATCCCAAGCAGCACTGCAATGCTGGGCACGTGGTCTGTTCTTTTCACTTCTGCAAACAGCCAATGAGAGGCAGCGTTTACAAAGATCTAGGATGACATCTGGTGTATTGACTGTCGTCAGTCTAAATGCTAGTCTTTGCCGTTTGAAAAGTGTTGCAGTAGCTCAGATTTAAAGAGGTATTTTTTCCTGTTAATTTGAAGCTCGTTGTGCCTCTTGTTTCCGAGGGAAGAAAAGCTGATTCAGTCATCTCAATGGATGCAATTTTGAATTATAGGTCGGAAGATACTGAAGATTACTACAAGTTACTGGGATGTGATGAACTATCCTCGGTAAGACAGTGGATAATGCTGTATTTTTTTTTTCACAACAATATTTGAAGTTTTTATTTAAGGTTTTAACTTAAATAAAACTTTTTGTCACATTGAACTACAGACCTAATCTTGCATTATTTTAAAGCACTTTTGGCTCAGAGAAAAGTTAAGAATTTAAATGTATATTGAGTCTTTACTTGAATAGTGTCTTCTGGTAACTTTATGGATGCTTCTGATTAAGTATGTATATTCTGGCACATGGCTATACCTTCTATTTTACAATCAGCATACTAAAAATAAATATGTGAAATTTTATCATAATTTCTGATGGCAGTGTTTCATAGTATACATAAGCTATATCTTTATTATGGTAATTCATACCATAATTGAAATGAAAGATGATTTTTTAGTAAGTTAGGAATTTAAAAATATTATATTAAAACATGTACTTTTTATGTGAGCAGTTAAATTATAAAGGAAAAAGCACCTTTCATGTTAGTATTTCAAACTGTGTGACAGAAATTACTTCTTGAAAGGGCTGCTTCTGAAACAAAACATGTGTGAAAACTCTGTGGTTGTTCACTGGATCTATAATGAAATAATGTTTTTAAAGTCCCCTCACAAACAATTGTAAAAGTTGTAGAGGTTTTTATAAATTATGGAAAAATCATTTATAATTTTATCTCTCACAGATAACACTATTAATATTTTGGCATATCAATCTCCAGTCTTTTTCCTATGTATATTTTTTGAAGACATGTTTGGGCATATTATATATACTTGTTGATTCCTGCTTCCTACCCATTAATATTATAACAAGAAATTCTCCATGCTATTAAACTTCCTTCATGCATTTTTAGTGGTTGCAAAATATTTCATTTTATTATATTATCACAATTGAATTATTCTATTATTGTTAAATATCTTATTTCCAATTTTTAAATATTTTAAATAATGTTAAAATAAGTATGAAATATGTCCACTATTATGAAATTATCATATATTATTAAATGATGTTATTAAAATATATTTATATTATATCATTAATATATTTTGCTTTATTCATTTTTATTAAAATATAACTATTTTATTTTATTTATTTTTATTAAAATAAAACTATTAATATTAGTGTTTTAAATCAAAATGTTTTTATATTTATTCTTGTTTCATCAAGACAGGAATTTAGTTATAAAATGTACTTAGCTTTGTGTTGAGGATAGGATGCAATATTGGACACAAAGGATTAAAATCTCTATTTGTGCCACACTGTGAGGAAGTTATCTCAGATACACAGAACAGCTTATGATGATCTTTTAGTTGCATATTTCTTTTCAAGAATAATATCTTGCTCTTGTTTATGTTGGTGGTAATTTGCTTATAGCAATTGAGAAAGTTTATTACCGTTTTTACCATATATGTTATTCCCACTTCAGATTATACTACTACAGAATATTTTTTTGAAGGAATTAATTTAAAATTAACAGAACATAATTAAACTTGATAAGGTTAATTTGGATATTTTTAAAAATATGCACTATGTTTTAAAGTAGAGGTCATTAAATCCCCCAAATAAATCTTTTGACCCATCTAATCAGTCTTTTGAAGTTATGCCCTTATTTTTTCAGTCTACAAAGAAGGAGAATTCATTTTGGATAGACTCCCAAAAATGATACCATTGTTTATGTGTAAGAGTTTCATTTTATGGTTACCAGGTATAGTCATACTTCTCAGTCTCAACATTCCTTTTTCTGGATGTATTTTACTGATCTGTTAATCACATAACATATCTAGATAACAATCACTTATTTTTAATGAAATGACTGTCACAGTTTTGTCATTTCTTTTTATATGTATCATTTTCTCCCTTTTTCTTAAAGGTACATTTCCCATTGAAATATATTTTTATGACTTCTTTGTCTATTTAGTGTAACATTTCCTTTATTTGTAATGGATGAATTTCCTTAACTTCAAATATTCCTTGATTTGATACTCTAAAATTAACCAGAACTCTTCATACTCAAAAGCAATTGAGCAGTTATAATTTCAAAGCAATTTGATATTTTGATTTTACTTATAATAATTGAATTGAGACACCCACATAATAGTTTTGCTTTGGTATATAGTTCTTATAATTTAGAGGTCATATTGGAAATTGATTAAATTCAAAGTAAAGTTACATATTTTCTAGTAGTTCAGGAGCAGTAATTTTGAAACTTTTTCTTCTCAAGAGATTTTTAAACATCACCCTTCACAAATTGAAACTACAATCATGACAATAAACAAAGAGACTAATTTCCTACTTTACATAAATGACATTCATAAATTATGGAAGGATTTCCACATTGTTGTATAGAAAACAACATATCCCCCATTGAAAAAAAAATATACCAAAGTTCAATCTGAAGTCAGTCATCCTTTTCTCCTTATATTGGACTTTACACAGAAGACACATGCTCTAAAACCCTCTAAAGTCCTTATTGATGCATACACTACACGCTAGGGGTGTAAAGCATCCTCACTGGTGTGGATCTTGTTTGTTTTTTAATATTTGGTCACTATTTCAGTAGCAATGATAAGAAGACGTCATGGACTTGAAAACTGACCACAAACCTGATAAATGGAAACAGATTTTTTTTCCCCTTAATCCTCTTCTTATTGACTTCAGACTGTCTGGGTTCACATCTTTACTCTGCCACTTACTAGCTGTGTGACCTTAACTAAATTACTTTAGTTTTCTATGCCTTGGTTTCCTGATTTGCAAGTGCTAAGTTGTTATTGTTGTGGCTGTAGTTTTTGGCCTCACAGGGATACCATGCACTTGTGTGCTTTGTGAATTTATCCTATCCTAGATTTTGCATTCTTTTAAAGATGTTTTATTTCGAAATAATTTTTGCCTTACAGAAAAGCTGCAAAAATAATAACCCAAGAATTCCTACATACCCTTGATCCAGCTTCCCTTTATGTTAATTGTTTTTCTTCAAACTTTCACCCCCTGAATTTAGCATCCTTTGGTGGATCTTGCCTGTAGCAGTTATTGCTATGGTGTTTGCCTAATGGTAATTTTCCGTTTTCCTCATTCATTTATTAGTTGAAATTCTTCTGTGAAGAAAAGCTCTCCCTTCTCTCACATTTATTTGTTCATTCAATTTATTTTTTATCACTATTGGTTAGTAGAAAGTTATTGTATTTTAAGGGTTATAACCCAAATGCTACTATTATTTATTTTGTGGCTCAAATGGTTTCTATGGCTCATATTTTAATTAATTTATCATTTGATTAGAATGCTGTAGGAGGATCTCTCATTTATTTCAGAGATACTGCTAATATTTAGAGTGTTGTGGGAAACATCCAGTTTTCAAACTGAGTGACTTGAAATGATGGATACTAATTGACTCACTTATTAAAATGTGTCTTCTTTTTTTCTGCGGCTCACCTCTACAGCATATGAATTTCCATCACTGAAATCTGTTCACTCTTATAATGAACAAACCACAATTTTCAGAAAGCGCCTATTACACTACGGTGATATTACTTGAAGAAGAACATCTGTCAGTCTATAATCAAGTACTTACTGAACACTTACTGTTGGGCCAGTATTAGAAGTGATGGGGAGTGGGGTGGGAAGAAAAGTAAAATAAAACAAAACATAAAGGTGATACATAGTGCTAGTGTATAAAGAACTTGGTATCCAATTGACAAGCTAAAGCTAAAACACAAGAAACAATTAAGTACTATGTTGTATGGTGCTGTCTGTAAGTACAACATGAGAAATGTTAACCTAAATGTTTAACATTTGGAGTATGACATATGAATGTTAATTATCTATGCATATATGCTGTATCTATGTATGTATGTAAATAAGTACATGCATATATGTATGTATTTATATATGTATTTTTATATATGTTTGGAGTCAGACTGTGTGGGTTGAATTCCTGGATCTGCTACTTTCTACTTGTGTGACCTTGGGAAATTTACTTAATTTTTCTATGCCTTGGTTTCCTAATCTGCAAAATGAGAATAATAAAGGTATCCATAGTATGTCATAGAGTTGTGGGAATTAAATGAGACACTATATGTAAAGTGTTTATTTTTTTTTTTTTTTTTTTTTTTTTTTTTTTTTTTTTTTGTTTTTTTTTTTCTAACTACAGTGAAAATGAATGTAAAGTGTTTAGAATAGTGCCTGGCACATAGTAAGTCTCGGTAAATCTTAGTTATGATAATTATTATTATCATTATTACATACATACATATTTACATCATTCCTTTTGAGATAAAAACACTGTGGATTTATATTGTACATAATATCTTACCTTTTCTCATAGAAATACATAAACTTTCTCAGATTGTTAAAAGTCTTCTACAAGATGATATTTTAATGACTGCTAAGTATTCCAACTTATAGCTATATTACAATTAACTTTAACAAATATCCCATTATTGAACACATAGGTTTTTGTTTAAAATTTTTATTTTATTTATTGAACTTTCTTATAGCTAAATTCTTTTCCCACCTCTAATTATCTACTTAGACAAATTCCTAGAATTGGAATTGTTGGATCAAAAAGTAAGAAACAGGCCGGGCGCGGTGGCTCACGCCTGTAATCCTAGCACTCTGGGAGGCCGAGGCGGGAGAATTGCTCGAGGTCAGGAGTTCAAAACCAGCCTGAGCAAGAGCAAGACCCCGTCTCTACTATAAATACAAAGAAATTAATTGGCCAACTAAAAATATACATACAAAAACTTAGCCGGGCATGGTGGTGCATGCCTGTAGTCCCAGCTACTCGGGAGGCTGAGGCAGGAGGATTGCTTGAACCCAGGAGTTTGAGGTTGCTGTGAGCTAGGCTGACACAGGCACTCACTCTAGCCTGGGCAACAAAGACTCTGTCTCAAAAAAAAAAAAAAAAGTAAGAAACAAACTAGAGGCTTTTCATATGTATATATTCCAATTGCTTTCCAGGCAGTTTACATCTATTTACGTCCTCACCAGGAGAGCATAAGTGTTCATTTCTACGCACCCTCAGTAACACTGGTTTAATAACTCATTCTTTGGATGTTTTGATTTATTTAATTATGAGTAAAGCTGAACATTTTGTATGTTTACTGGCCAGCAAGATAGGCAGTTTTCCAGATCACTGGACATTGGGTCAGGAAGTCAGGGTTCAGTGGACCTTGATGTGGAGAGCCTTGGCTGCCTATGGCTGCGCGCAGCACGGGGCACATGGGGTCGGGAGGCCAGGTGATAAATAGAATGTGTCCAAGACAAACTAACCCACTTTACCAGTTTACCCAGAACCAGCTGTACAGGAGGTGTGTGATAAACTTTGTGATAGTTAAAACTATGAAAAATAATGACAGACATATGGACTATTCTTAATTTAAAAAATATATAAAATTGGCAAAACCCTAGAAAATATAAAGAAGAAAAAAATCAATCACACATGTTAGCATGACTGAGAATTAACCATTTTGACACACTTGCTTTGGTGGACCAATACCAGAATGTTTTTTAGTGGGATATGGATTAAAAAATAAAACAACAGCAACAATAAAACCCCAAAACTTTCTACCTTTGATAAATATGTATAATTTTATCCATCTGTGTTATTTAAAAACCCTAATGTATATGTACATAAATATATGTCAAAAGTGTATTTTGGAGGATATGACCTATTATCTTGGGGAAGAAGGGTAAAGGGCTTTTACTTTTTATTCTGTATGGATAGAAATTTTTTCAAGGAGAGTTTGTGAGTATTTATAAATTACTTATTAATTAAAATGCTTTATTACTGCACTCCATAAAATACTTAATATTTTAAAATTTAAAAACAAGTCTAATTCTCAATTATATTTGTTATATAAGTGAGTTATGGTGACTTATGGTTAAAGGGGTAACACCTAGGAAGAGGGAAAACACAATTTATTACAGTTCTTAACAGGAAGTCTATCTCTTCCTGTTATTCCAAGAAGTTCTCAATAGAAGCTTACCAAGGAAAGGAATAGAGTTAATAGTCTGGGTTATATATATATATATATATATATATATATATATATATATATATATAATACAATCCGATTTGATTGTAAAAGTGAAGACATTTCGTATGAGATTTGACTAAGGATGGCATGGAGCTTGGAAGAATATGAATCTTATGACAATATTGAGCTGAGGTGCTTGAGAATTAATTTCTCAAACAAAAGGTAATTTGCTCTCATTTATTGGTGGTTAGTAAATATGGAATCTCATATTAGTTTCCTAAGCCTGAAGAATTATTTAAAAGATTAAAGGATTTAAAGTCTGACTGCTTAGTTAACAAAAAAGTCAGCATTTTTAGTAACTAGCTGAATGACTTAGGACAAGTTACTTAACCACTGGTATTTAATTATAGCTACTGTTATCGATTTCTTACTATGACCAGGCTTTGTGTTAAGTGCTCTACATTATTCATCTGATGTAAAGATAAGGAAACCCTAGACACGGGAAGTTATGTAATGTGCCTAAAGTCTTGTGGAAGAAGTGGGATTTAAAATCAAGCAATCAGGTTGTAGAGTCACGTAACCACTGTTGTCTCCTGCTACTGTTATTGCAGTTATGATTAATAAAACCAAGTCATAATTCATATTAAGAGGGATTAGGTGGGTAAATGAAATCGTATCAAATCAGGAATAGCCCTAAAACCTCAGTTTAGGCTGCAGTTTCTGTTTTCCCTGTCAAAATCTCTAACAAAGCTCCTAACTGGTAACAAAATTATCAGGTTTGAATTATGTCCTTTTTCTTTTAATTGTGAAATTCTTTAATAAAAAATAAAAGGACCAAAAGGCAGGAAGAAGGAACTTTATAATGGATGATATATAAATTTTAACTTATAATTTATAATTCAGGGATATAATGAATGGTGACTAAGCATCTTGGAAGAATTCAAATATGTGAACACATATTTTATATATTCTGAGGAGAAACCTATCTGACCATATTGGGCATTTAAATACATTGAAGCCGGGTGAGGTGGCTCATGCCTATAATCCCAGCACTTTGGGAGGCCAAGGCAGGAGGATTGCTTGAGGCCAGGAATGTAAGACCAGCCTGGGCAACATAGTGAGACCCCATCTCTACAAAAATAAAATTAGCATGCATCTGTAGTCCCACCAGTTACTTAGGAGGCTGAGGCAGGAGGATTGTTTGAGCCCAGGAATTCAAGGTTGCAGTGAGCTGTGAACATGCTGCTGCACTTCAGCGAGGGTGACAAAGCCAGATTCTGTCTCTTAAAAAAAAAAATGTGTAAGTATATATTGTGTACATCACACCTTTAGAAGTGGAATAGAAAAAAGAAGTATATATTGTGCTCATAGGTGTCTTGGGCCATCATTTAAGTAAAGTAGCAGATTAAATTGTCATCAGACTACTATATCAATAGGAGTTTTTAATGGATGCTTTTTGAATTTGGTTATTTAGGAAATTATTTCTTAGAGTAAAAAGTCAAAATAGAAGTATAAGGATCAACATAAAAATTTGAGTTGATCATGGCTGTTTCAGGCAGGACTGTTGCCCATCTTCTTTCTTCATGCTATTTAAGTTAGACTCCTTATTTTAAATGCTGATTTTTGTTTTAGGTCGAACAGATCCTGGCAGAATTTAAGGTCAGAGCTCTGGAATGTCACCCTGACAAGCATCCTGAAAGCTCCAAAGCTGGTAAGAATTTAATAATGGCTCTTTCTCAAGAAAATGAATAGCAAATAGAACCAAAAAGCTTTTGAACAGCAACTTAATTTTCTCTGTCGATTATGCTCAAAGTTATTCTTTCATTCAATGCCAAAGGCTGTTTTTGCACTATTGGATGACAGGAAGGGAGAAGACTGTGCAGGGTCTCTTTTAATAGTGGCCGTTTAACATGCATTTTTCTTTCTGCTATAACGTGCTGCTTTGTGGTTTAAAATTTATCCAGGTCATGCTTTATTTCACCAGCTTGTGAGTGTTAACATAACTTAAGTATGTTTGTTATCAGGCAGTTGTCTTCATGGGAACCTCGCTGTGATTTCTTCCTTTCTGTGAATGTGAATATATCCATATATTCATACTTCTGTTTCTTTCCTTTATTATTATTTAAATATGCTTATGTGTGTCTAAGATTGGAAAAATACTACCAACTCAATATTCATTCTGCAGCTCATCTCCCTACTCTCCCTCCCTATCTTTCTCCCTCTCTTCTGAGCCAAACTTCCTGAAAAAGATACCATAGTTGATGTCTCTACTTCCCTTCTTCCCAGTTTTCCATTTTTCGCACTCTGACTTCCTCCCCTACCCTTTCTCAGGAATGGCCAGGGACTTCTTTGTTGCCAAATACAATAGGTACATTTTAGTCCTTAACTCCCCTGAGCTCGCTTCAAAATCTGGCATGTCCACCATACTTTCCTTCTTGAAACATTCTTTTCTCTTAGCTCTCAGGATAATATGCACTTGTGGTTTTCCTCCAGCCTCCTAAAGCTGCTCTTTTTCAGTCTCCTTTGTGACTCCTCTGCTGCCCTAAGGTTCCCTCCTAAACTTTCTTCTCAGCTCACCCCCACCCCTGACTTTCTCTCTGGAGCCTTGTCCAAGTCTGGGCTTTAATCACCAGCTCACAGTTGTTTTTTCCCCCCATTCAGAGCAGATTGAAGAGCCAGAACCAATTCATTGTTGATGGCTCCCCAATGTATCCTTTTTTTTGAGACAGAGTCTCGCTTTGTTGCCCAGGCTAGAGTGAGTTCCATGGCGTCAGCCTAGCTCACAGCAATCTCAAACTCCTGGGCTCAAGCAATCCTACTGCCTCAGCCTCCCGAGTAGCTGGGACTACAGGCATGCGCCACCATGCCCGGCTAATTTTTTCTATATATATTAGTTGGCCAATTAATTTCTTTCTATTTTAGTAGAGACGGGGTCTTGCTCTTGCTCAGGCTGGTTTCGAACTCCTGACCTCAAGCAATCTGCCCGCCTAGGCCTCCCAGAGTGCTAGGATTACAGGCGTGAGCCACCGCGCCCAGCCCCCAATGTATACTTAACCCAGTTTTTGCTCCTCATCTTCAGACTGTAGTTTCGATGGCTTCTTGGAAATCTCCATTTGGAAACATTTCAAAGTCACTCTTTCAAAAACTAGACTCATTATTCTCCTCTCACCCCTTCTAAAATGTTGCTTATTTTTCTGTGTTTCTCCATCTCAATGAATGACACTGGCATCCATTCACTTGATCAAGCAGAAACTGGGTCTCCTTCCTCTCCCTCATCCGGTCGTCTACCCAGTGCTGTTGATTTACCTTCCACATTTCTCTCTGCTGTGTCCTCTTCCCTCTGTCCTCACTGCCACTACTGTAAGTAGGCTCCCATCATTTCATCCCTGCATCCCTACAGCATTCCTTTAATTGCTTCTCATTGCAGATAGTGATTTTTCTTTTTAATTATGGAAAAAATATTTAATATGTGTAAAAAGCAATAAGCAATAAAGAATACTATAATGGATGCTGACGTATGTAACAGTCAGTTTAAAATTTTAACAATGTAATGGAAAACTCTTGTGTTTTCCTACTCTGATTTTATCCTCAGGATAGGTAAATATTATATCTTTGTTGTTGTTGTTGTTGTTTTTGAGACAGAGTCTCACTCTGTTGCCCAGGCTAGAGTGCTGTGGTGTCAGACTAGCTCACAGCAACCTCCAACTCCTGGGCTCAAGCGATCCTTCTGCCTCAGCCTCCTGAGTAGCTGGGACTACAGGCTTGTGCCACCATGCCCAGCTAATTTTTTCTATATATTTTTAGTTGACCAATTAATTTCTTTCTATTTTCAGTAGAGATGGGGTCTCGCTATTGCTCAGGGTGGTCTCGAACTCCTGACCTTGAGTGATCCACCTGCCTTGGCCTCCCAAGAATGCTAGGATTACAGGCGTGAGGCACCATGCCCAGCCGGTAAATATTAGATCTTAAATTTGATGATTTTGTTTACTATATGCATATAGTATGTATATTTATGTGATTTTTTTCTGTAATGAAAATATCAAACTAAGACCTATCTATAACTCCACATTGCACAAACCCAAACTCTTCTTTATTTAGACATTTTTTCCTTGTCTTAAAGCTCCTTATTAATTTTCTCTAGAAATCACTGATCCCTGTCTATATAAATGAATAATTTTCCAATATATGAGGTCATCTTTTGTTAGATATTTTACTATTATTTTGCTCATTTGATTCTTTTCTCTTCTTATTAATTTATTTAAGGTAACATGAACAAATCATAAGTGTAAGCTTGATAAATTTGTATAACTAGCATATGTATACCTAGTTTAATCACTGCCCAGAAGAAGAGTAGAACATTATCAGCAACCCAGAAATCCCTTTTCATGCCCTGTTCAAAGTCAGCACCCTCTCCCATTTTTGGATCTCTATCATCATAGATGAGTTTTGCCTAGTTTTGAATTTCATATATATAGAATCACACAGTGTGTGTGGCTGCTTTCACTTTGCATTACGTCTGTGAGATTCACACACGTTGCACCCATAGCAATAGTTCATCCTTTGTCATTGTTGGGCCCGGAGGCACAAGCCCCTTCATGCTGTGTACCCTCTTAATTCTTTATCCCCCTTTTCTCTTTACCACCATGCCTACGACTCCATGTTTCAGTCACTCAGAGCTATGCTGGATCTTTAATGTGCTCTGTTCTTTCTACTCTCCAGTCCTCTATGCTTGCTGCTTCCTCTGCCTGGAACATCCTTGAGCCCTGCACGCCTCCCTGCCTGCTTGGCTTGGCTGGTTGTGCTTCTGGGTCAGGTCTCAGCTTAGCATCACTGCCTCTGAGAAGTCCTGTGTGCCCTGGCTACTCAGAGCACTGTGTACGTCAGGCAGCAGACTATGTATCACACCTTCTCCTTATTGCTTGTTTGCTTATTAGTTAGACTGGAAGCTCAGTGAGACAGACACAACTGCTTGCCTTGTTCACAGTGGAATGCCCCGTACTGAGCACAGCACTTGCAGAGGACACCTACTCTGATATAATTTCTTGAATGAGTGAATGAATGAATGCATGAGCATTTCTTTAGGATACAGATTAAATACCTCTCTGAACTGGAGTTAAGATTAAGATAGCTGTCCCTGCATAAAATTATAAAAATTTGATAAACACTTAAAAACAACCAGTGTCCCTGGTTATTCTTTAACTGGGTTCTTTTCCAGTGAAGCATGACTCCGAGTTGTTCCTCTGTCCCTGACAAACAATTTTTATTCACGATACATGATGAATCACTGTGCAGTCATTGCCATTTCTAGTTGCCATAGTGATGGGGGTTTTCATGTATGGGCTGCCTCAAGGCTTCTTGTTCAGAGAAACACTGGACTGTGTAAACATTGTTTAAAATGAAAAGGTACACGAACATCAATATCTTCCGTTGTCAGGCGTGCAGTTGATGTATGATTCAACCTTTGGGTAGAGATTTTTTTAATCTATGTAAGCATCCATCCATTTACTCAATTTGAATTAATATGACTTTCTGAAAACTTAAGTGGTTATGTACACACTTGGAAAAAGATTAAAATTATTGACAAAAACATTTTAAAATTAAAAAACAATTCAAACAAATACTGAATTTTAACCTGACAGAAAATAAGAATATAATGGACAGATTTCAAAACATATCTCATTAGGGTGAAAGGCTAGCCTATAGAGGAACTGCAGGTAGAAGAAATGAAACTTGTGTATATACCTTTCTGGTCCACTAAATGTAGTCTCAACTGTTGCCATGGAAATTACTGACTTGTTAGCATGATGGAGTAGTGGATATGAACACAGGCCTGTCTGTCTGGATTGTTCCCATCTCCTACTTGTGAGCGAGTTGACCTTGGGCAACCTCTCAGAGCCTCAGTGTTCTCATAGGTAAAATGGATAGACTAATAGCATATTGCTTCCTATGTCTGCTGTGAAGATTAAATGAGGTATCCTGCATGTGGGAAGTGCTCACTGGATGTTGGCAATTATGATTCAGTGGACTTTCTTTCCTTGTTTTCATGTGGCAGCCAGAGGTAAAAATTTAACCAAATGGGATAGTTTTTTTTGGTTAAGTAACCATTGAAGATCTTTATTTTATTCATAAGCAAATCTAATTCTAAGGCTGTCGGAAATCCCTTCCCCTTTCCAGGTGTAGGTGATGTAGGCAGGGCTGGTTGTGCTACAGAAATTGTGTCACTAAGCCTAGAAGAGTCTAGAAGCTCCACGCTGGTGTTCACCCTAGCCTCCTGTGCTTGTGACAGTAACTGTTGCAGATCTACACATTATTAACTTCTCTTTGACTACAAAGAAAGGAGGTTTCAGACTAAATTAAGGACCTGAGACATGATATTTTTGTTACTGATGTGCAAACTTCAAAGACATTTGGATATTTGAAGAAGGGTATATTGGAAGAACAAATTTCTTTGTTAACTGATATCTTTTAATGGCTCAATATTTTCCTAATTTAAAATCTCTTTATTTCTTTTTTCCTCCTAGAATAAAAATAATATAGCAGTAATAAATAATGTTGAAAAGGAAAGTCTGCTCTTATCTCGCCCTGCCAGAGAACCACTATTTTTTTTTAAATTTCCATAGATTTAGGGGTACAAGTTGTGTTTTGGTTACATGGATAAATTGTATAGTGGTGATATTTAGGTTTTTAGTGTACCCATCACCCAAATAGTATACATTGAAGAGAATCACTATTAACAGTTGGTGTGTTTTCCTACAGATCTTTTTCAAAGCATGTTTGGACATCACATTATTGTTATTATTAATATTTCTCAAGTAATTGTAAATGGTATACCTTAAAATGTGGCTATAATAATACAAATTCTATTGTGAAATGTGAAATTTAAAACAACCTTTGCATTTTCAAGGTAGATCCAGGAGTTAAATCAGAATATCTCTCAAGAGTTCCAGTATCATTTGCTCATATAAGCTTACAAAATGAGATCTCTTTTCCCGGAACGGGTAAATGTTTATCTTGTGTGATTCATTTGATAATACATTAAAGAACAAATATAAACCCAAACTCGTTTTTATTAAATGTGGTGAAGAGGATGGAACAAAAAAAAGTTCACATTACAGGAAAGATAAGGTCTCTTTTTCTTTCTGCTTATCAACTGTTGTTGAGGGATTGGCATCAGCATCATTCTAAGATGACTTCTTTCATTCTGGAAATTCTGGAAAGCGAGGCCAACAGTAATGCGCGCATAGTGAAGGTGACTCATGGATAAAAATATAAATCTTTACAACTGCTGCATTAGTAGTAGCTGGCGTGTGCATCCTTGGTGATAATTTAATAAGCTTTTTATTCTCATTGGAAAAAGTGACATATTATTTATACAACGGGACATTTACATTGTCGTCAGCAACAGGAAGGATTGCTCACTGGATCAAACTGCTGTGGCAAGATGCTTTTATTTGTTTTCCAATAGCTTTCAATATTCCCATCTTTAGGGTCTTCCCTTTAATCCATTAATTGCTACCACCTCCAGGGGTGATACTAAATTAGTTCATGATTTATAAGGTACCTGTCCTGTCTAGCTTTTGAGCAGGGTGCTGGAGGTACCCTGCTGCATCAGGCAGTCTCCCTGGATGCTGGGGGAACACTTGAAGCAGAGATGTTTGGGGGACGGGGCTCAGGGACACCAGCTCTTGACCAACTAGAGTCTGGAAGTATTTGAGGATTTTCACAATTGGTGTGGAAGAACTGTAAGTAGTGACAGTACATACGCCTTACACCTTAACACCTTCTTTTTCAGGGCATCCTGATTACTTCCCATGAGGTATTTTCAAGTACTATCAGGGTTATCTTAATTGTATTTCCCAAATGATACTATTACAATGTTCCTGATTCACAAAATGTTTTGAGGACATGTGCTGTTTCTTTGGTGCTTGGAGCTCGGGGAATAGCACTATGAGAATATCTTTATATTCACTCAAAATAGGAAGCATTCATTCATTCATTCATTCAAGTATCCAGTGGATACTTTTTAAGCACCTACTGCACTGCTGTAGTGGAAGAGACGCAGCAGAGAACAAAACAGATATGCTCTGTCCTTATGAAGTTTATATTCTGGTAGATGTCAGAAATCATCAACAAATAGCTATATAATGTCAGGGAGTAAGTACTATGAAGAAAAGAAAAGGGCCAGGAGATAAAGGAGTGGGCTGATGGGGTAGGCCCCACCAAGGAGGTGGCACCTGAGCTGGCATCTGGAGGAAGTGAGCTATGTGGTGCCTGGGATAAAAGTGTTCTTGGCAGGGACAGCAAGGGCCAAGGCAGAGTGTGCTTGGTGTGCTCGAGGAGCAATCGCTATGGCTGGGGCAAGGGGAGATGGAGGGGAAAGTAGAAAAGAAATGAGATCAGAGAAGGAAGAAAGGAATAGATAGAGGTCAGGCCTGGTAGTCATGGTAAGAGTTTTGGATTTTATTCTAAGGGAAATGGAAAGTCTCTGGAAGTTTTAAGCAGAGAAGTGATATTTATATGACTTATTTTTTTTAAAGATCACTCTACTATGTAGAAAATGGACTAAGGCAAAGGCAGGGAGATCAGTGAAGGAACTGCTATGATAATTCAGTCAAAAGAGGATGGACTAGGGTGGTGGCAGTGGAGATGGTGACAAATGATCAGATCTTGGATATCTTTGGAAGGTAGAGCCAACAGGATTTACTAATGGGTTTGAGAGAAAGAGAAGAGTCAGTTGTTTTGAAAACCAATGAACTGTGTCCCGATTCTCCAAGAAGAACCAGTCTTGCCTCAAGAGTTCTCTTTGTCACAATGTATTGAAATGATTTGTTTCTATGTCTGCCCCATTACTATACTCTGAGCACCTCAAGGGCAAGACCTGGATTGACGAATGCTGGAGGAGGAAGTGGGGATTAGAGGACAACATGCTTTCAGGAAAACGGAAGGGGGCAGGAAGGTGGTCAAGTATAGCTCGGAAAGCACAGGTTGGGAGCCTGGCAGGCTTGGGTTTGGATCATGACTCCATCACTTGAAGCTTTGGGACATTGGGCAAGTTACATTAACCTCTCTAGCCTTAGATCCTGTAAAATGGGGATAATAATAATAATACCTCATAAATTTGTTGTGAAAGAGATATGTGATCTATGCTTATAAATGATAACTGTTGTTATGACAGTGTTTTCTATTTATAATTCTATCTTTGGCCTTTCACAAGTTATCTTCTATGTGGTTTTTGGTATGGTTTTAGAATAACTTTATTTCAAAAATTATCATACAGCAAAACTAACTTCTTTGGTACACAGTTCTATGAATTTTAACATCTGTATAGGTTGGTTAGCTACTACCACAATCAGGATACAAAGCTTTCATCCCCTCTAGGGATAGTTTTTTTTTTAAATAACAGCATTATTCACATACAATTCACATACCATAAAATTCACCTGTTTAGGTGTAATGTCAGTGGTTTTTAGTATATTCATAGTGTTGTGCAGCCATCACTGCTATCTAATTTCAGAACATTTCATCACCACAAGCAGAAACCTCATACTCATTAGCAATCACTTCCCATTCCTGCCTACCCAGCCCCTAGCAACCACCAATTCACTTTCTGTCTCTATAGATTTGCCTATTCTGGATATTTCATACAAATGAAATCATACAATATGTGGCCTTTGTGACTGGCTTCTTTCATTTAGCATAATGTTTTCAAGGCTCATCCATGTATCAATATTTCATTCCTTTTTATGGCCTAATGATAATTCCTTTATGTGGATATATTAATATCACATTTTGTTTATCCATTCACAGTTGATGGACATTTGTGTTGTTTCTACTTTTTGGCTATTATGAATAATGCTGCCTTCATATACAGGTTTTTATGTGGACATATGTTTTCAGTTCTCATGGGTGTGTACCCAGGATTGAAATATTAATAGTTGGGTCATATGATAACTCTGTTTAACATTTTGAGGAAAGTCCAAACTATTTTTCGAAGTGGCTACAACATTGTTACATTCCCACCTGTCCATGTGTAAGGGTTCCAATTTCTCCACATTGTAGTCAACATTTGTTGGCTTTTGCATATAGATTTTAGGACTAATTTGTCAATTTCTGATAAAAAGGCAACTACCATTTTGATAGAGATTATGTTGAATGTGTATTTCTATACACATGTGGAAAGTATTATTATTATTATTATTATTATTATTTTTTTTTTTTTTCAAACTCAAAGACTACCTGGAATATTATTATTTTTTTTTTGAGACAGAGTCTAGCTTTGTCGCCCAGGCTAGAGTGAGTGCCGTGGCATCAGCCTAGCTCACAGCAACCTCAAACTCCTGGGCTCAAGCAATCCTGCTGCCTCAGCCTCCCGAGTAGCTGGGACTACAGGCATGTGCCACCATGCCCAGCTAATTTTTTCTATGTGTATTAGTTGGCTAATTAATTTCTTTCTATTTATAGTAGAGACGGGGTGTTGCTCTTGCTCAGGCTGGTTTCTAATTCCTGACCTTGAGCAATCCGCCAGCCTCAGCCTCCCAGAGTGCTAGGATTACAGGCGTGAGCCACCGCGCCCAGCGAGAGTATTACTATTTAACAGTATGAAGTTTTCCAATCCATGGACAAGAAGTGTCTTTCCATTTATTTAAATCTTCTTTAATTTCTTTCAACAATACTGTGTAGTTTTTAGTGTGTGTATTGCACTTTTTTTGTTAAAATTTTTTCTAAGTATTTTATTCTTCCTGATGCTGTTATAAAATGGAATTATTTTCTAAATTTCATTTTCAGATTATTCATTGCTAGTGCATAGAAACACAATTGATTTTTGTATATTGATCTTGTATCCTGCTCCACAGAAAGTTTTAACTTCACTGAGGGGCAGAAGAGACTTTGGAAGTGTTTCCAACAGGACCATGCAAAGTTTCTATTGTATGCCGTCTGGCCAAATAGAGCAGTGACAAAGCTACCGTTTGTCAAACACAGACCATGCTATTTACTATACTTAAAAAGCCTCCTATTGCTCTTATGACGAAAAGCAGACTAGAATCTTTAGGGTGACATCTAAGGAAGGCCCTGGATGAATGGGGCTCTTGCCTACTCTACAGCCCCGTCCCTTATCGTTCTTCCCCAGCTCTGTGTCCTTCAGCCACAGTGGCAATTTCTACTTCCTCTAATTCACTATTGACTCCTTCCTGCCTCAGAGTCTTCATTTTTCCTGTGCCTCTTGCCTGCTCACTACCCTCCCTCACAACTAGCACTAGAAAAGGTAGTTTTCTTCCTAGCAGACAGAATCATATTTTTTCCAACGTTTGTAAATGTCTGTCGTTCTCTCCTGCTAATAATGTCTGTCGTTCACGTCTGCATCATCAGCATCTGGAACAGCACCTGGCACGTCGCTGAAGCACAGGGAAGGGAGTGGATAAACTGTGTGCCAGGCACGTGGAAATCCATGATCTCACTTGTCCTTAAGGTACACTTCACAAAAGCTGAATGAGGTAAACTGGCCCAAGGTCACATAGCTAGTACGTGGCAAAGTCATGATTCTAGTGAGATTTGTTTGATAGTTTTGGAGTTTAGAATGATCCTTCTGAGAGAGGAGTTGCTCATCTCTTGATTTGTTTTCCAGTGGAGACTTTTCAGAAACTGCAGAAGGCAAAGGAGATTCTGACCAACAGAGAGAGTCGAGCCCGCTATGACCACTGGCGAAGGAGCCAGGTGTCGATGCCATTCCAGCAGTGGGAAGCTCTGAGTGACTCGGTGAAAACGGTGGGTTTCTCTCTGGGGATGATGTGAATTTGTGAAGCGCAGACTCTCCATGTATTATACTCACATAGGAGCTTAAAGAGTCCATAGGCAGTAGGAGGGAGAAGACCAAGAAATTTGTAGAATCTGTGTATCACTCAGTAGCCCCAAAATCCTATGAGGGGGAATTGACCAGAACAGAGGCAATGAATTTGTGCCAGAGAGCCCGTGCCTACATTTTTCAGTCTCTCTGGCTGTTCGCTTTCATGTATACACTCCCCATTATCACTCACTGTTTTATGAGTTCTAATAAAGGTGCTTCTCATATACTGCTAAATTTTGAACCATTGCAGACGTATCTCCTCCATCTTTTTATTAATAGTTCATATCAGTTTATTCTCTTTTCAAGGCTTATAATTATCATTAAAGAATCTGCATCTGATTAGGTCAAAGAAAGTTATAAATTATTCCTATTATGCATTCTGGTGAAAGAATTGTTAGACTTTTTAAACCATGGTGTTATCTTTCTTCACCCCATTAAAAAGTCAAAACATCAAAATTATCACTATAGTTACTGTTACATATTCATTGTGTTCAAAATTGACTTTTTTTTTTTTTATACAGTCTTACTCTGTTGCCGGGCTAGAGTGCTGTGGCGTCAGCCTAGCTCACAGCAACCTCGAACTCCTGGGCTCATGTAACCCTAACAATATTTGTACCCCCATAATATGATAAAGAAAAAACAACAAAACTCCTGGGCTCAAGCGATCCTCCTGCCTCACCCTCCCGTATAGCTGGGACTACAGGCATGCACCACCATGCCCAGCTAATTTTTTCTGTATATTTTAGTTGGCCAATTTATTTTCTTTCTATTTTTAGTAGAGATGGGGTCTCACTCTTGCTCAGGGTGGTTTCGAACTCCTGACCTTGAGTGATATAACCGCCTCAGCCTCCCAGTGTGCTAGGATTACAGGCGTGAGCCACTGCGCCCGGCCCAAGATTGACTTTTATTTTATTTTATTTTTCTTGCCCAGGCTGGAGTACAGTGGCATGATCATAGCTCACTGTAACCTTGCACTCCTGGGCTCAAGCAGTCCTTCTCCCTCAACTTCCCGAGGGTGGATGGGACTACAGGCATGTGCCACCATGTCTGGCTAATTATTTAGTTTTTTGTAGAGATGGAATCTTGCTATGTTGCCCAGTCTGGTCTTGAATTCCTGGCCTCAAGCGATCCTCCTTGACTTGACCTCCTAAAGTGCTGAAATTATAGGCATGAGCCGCTGTGCCTGGCCCTAACGTTGACCTTTCTATATTGTAGGGAAAATGTAATTTTATTTTTTAAGCAAGAAAATGAGGTTTATTGAGGAAGAGCATGATAGGTTATAGAGCAGGAGCAAGATACATTTGCCACAGACGACCAATGGACCCCCTGCCATAACAAGAGGCTGAGAAAACATAATTTTAAAGGTTTCTACATGCCTAGGCATGATTTATTACCTAAATTCTTTCCATTGGAATACTTTTCTATGACACAAAACTTAGAATACAGAAATTACCTTATAGGCAAGTTTTCAGGAACAGTTGTTAGAATTAGTCTATAAAGTGATTCACATTTCTTAAATTACAGCCCTTCAGGGTTTATAATAGATTTCTTGCTTCATAGTTGATAAAAGTCTTGTGAAAATGAGGAAAGGTCTTTGAAATAATTAGGAAGAGCAATGCAAACCTTCTAAAGTGTATGGTTAAAGCCACTCTGCATAAAGTGTAAATTGTTTTCTTCATCTCATTTGGAAAGAACTGTACCTTCATACCAGTTTCTTTAAGGTGGGATAATTATTTATGAGGTACTAACCATATGCATATTGTACACATTCACAAAATTATTAGAGGGAATATTTCAAAAGAGATAGTGACTTTACATATTCAAAAATAAGATTTTTTTTCATTTTCATTGTGGTAAATTCAAAATTCCTTGTTGATACTGGCTAAACATTGTTATACCAATTCTGCATAACCATATTTTCCAGTCTCCTAACTGTGACACACTGTAACTGCAACCAAATTAGTCACTCTTGCTATTCTAATGTTTTCTGATTTATAGTTTGTCTTGATGATCCACTGAACTGTGTCACTTAAATTTTAATTGCTAATATCCAGTTAGCTGTGGATTTTTCAAAAACTCTTCTCCAAATCCCTGCTTTAATTTATATAGACAGCATCTTTCCATTAAAGACTAATTTCCTGTCTCCAAACGCATCATTTCTGCTTTGAATTTAGCTTAGCTATGAACTATTTGAAGTCTTAATAATAATTACATTTTAGATCTTACTGACTGCATCATTTGTCTTGTCAGCAAAAATAAGTAGTATGCTGGGCTAGTATTTGGTTTCGTATTTATTTTTATTAGTAGTACAAAAATGACGAGATACTTATCTCTCTGCTTTAAATCAGCAGTGATATTTTTTCTCACACAGTCTTCTTTGTTTGGGCTAAACCTTGTTTGTGATGTCCTTTAGTTTCTCCTCCTCAGTGAATTTTGAATCCCATATACCAAGCATTGCCTGTTCTGTACCTCATTTGATAGACTTTTTGTAACTTTCTTGTCATTCCTTTCTGTTCCACTCCTCATAGTAGCTTCTGTATGTGAGAGCCTTTCCCCTCTCCATAACATTTTAATTATTGCTTTCTCTGTGCATGTATTTCATTTGTTCATTCTTTTGCATTCACTACTCTGGAGTAATTAATAGCAATGATCATATCTAATATTATTCATCACCTAATAGATCATTGTACTTTTGTAGATAAATATCATCATTAGGGTATTTGGGTTTTTAGATGTATAGTAGTTTCTTCTTATCTGTGCTTTCACCTTCCTGGGTTTCAGTTACCTGTGGTCAACCCTGGTCCAAAAAATAAGTGAATATAGTACAATAAGATATATGGGGAGAGACAGAGAGAGAGAGAGAGAAAGAGAGCATCCACGTAACTTTTTAAATAATATATGGTTATAATTGTTCTATTTCATTATTAGTTATTGTTGATCTCTTACTGTGCCTAATTTATAAATTAAACTTTGTCATAGGTATGTATGTATAGGAAAAATCATAGTATATATAGGGTTCAGTACTATCCACAGTTTCAGACATCCACTGGGGGTCTTGGAACATATCCTCCATGGATAAGGGTGGACTACTGTATTACACATACCATTCTGACAATAAAATGGTTATGACTTTAGGATTTGAATTTCAGGTGACATTTATCTAAAACACACCTGCATGTTTGCATGCCCAGCACATTTATAGATTGTTAAATCTTGTAAAATACCTTTTCATTCACATCATCAACACTGTTTCTGCTTTTTATTTAATTGATATAATTGATATAATCCCTCTGGAAGGAAAATCATTAGTTGGGAGTAATATTAGTTCCCATATCTAGAAGGCAGGATAAAACACAATGTGCTATTGTAGAATCACACACAGAATCATAATGTGTGAATCTCCTTTGGGAGAATTCCTCACATGAGCCAGAGCTTCAGGGGTGCCACATTTCCATTATCTGTCAGTGATGGAACTGAACTGAATTTTTTTTTACCCACACCAGGTCTCTGTCACTTCACGGACTATTTATTTTTCTTTTCCTTTTCTAGAAGTTCCTCCCGATAGTTTAATTTGTAAAAATATTTTAAGAATTCACCCAGGTCAATGAATATGTTGGAAATTTAAATTTGGACACATAGTCTAGGTTTATAAAAAGGGATATGAAATGAGGGTCTCAGTAATCTAGGCCTTTGGGATCCTGGCATAACATGAAAAGAGAGACCTTTTTAGCTGGCAGAATCTCAGGTAAATTTATCTTTGTCATGCTAAATGATTTTATCCAAAAGGTTCCAGGGTCTGAGTGGCTCTCCTTCTAGCTCCAAAATACATGGTAGAATGGCTTAAGGATGGCTGTGAGAAAATAGTTGCAGCAAAGCCACTGTCAAAATGAAGTCCTCAGAAAAATTGTCATAAGCTGTTTAAACTGTCCTGTGCCACATCAATTGCTACAAATTTTATAAACAATTAATAGAAACACATTTTTTGGTATTTGGATTGCTTGACAAATGGCTTCTGGGAGTGGTGTTCAGGTCACCCCCATGTGAGCCTGTTTGCTGACTGTTTCTGGGTTCCCAGCTGGCTGAGGTATCCTTGGGGTGAATCCAACTGGTCACAGACTACCTACCAGGAAAGCTTCCTACTAAGCCTGTGTGGCCAGTTTCCTCAGCCAGATGGGAAACAGTCTGCAATTCAACACCTTCTGCTGGTTCATAAGGCAATCTGTCCTAGTTGGATGTTATCCAAAAGCGGGTCAGAAATCACCCAGACAAATACAAAATTCACTCATAGTGATGCAGGATAATAATAACCAGTCAATTTTGTATAGTTATTCAGCTGATCTGTGGCTCATCTGAGTCAACTGATTTTTTTTTTTCTATGTGTCCCAATGTTTACTGGCATGTAAAACAAAATTTTTTTTATTTCCTAGTGTTGACTAAAGTCTAGAATGTAAGAAAAAGACTTTGTAGGGAAAAAAAGACTCATTAAGGAAAGCTGGTAAACAAGTTAATTGTGAAGGCAGAATAACACCATACTAATTTCACAGACTGAAAGATTAGTGGTCTTTGCACCTAGGCTTGCTGTCTATTTAGTGTTAGTTCACTCCGTGTATATAAAGATTTTCTGTCTTGTGCAGTTCATTATTTTGCTGTACATATGCTCCCCTTCCTAGTCTGTAACAATTGCCATCACTTGATATTTTTTTATTGATGCTGGTTCTATTGAAATGAGTTGCTCCATGATAGACTAGTTCGCTTGATGTTCTACAATGTGCTGTGCTCTGTGAACACAGAAATGAGTGATTTGTAGGCTATCTGTGTCCCAGCAAACCAGGCTGCTTAGAATCACTCTTATATGAGTCCTTTGAACTACAAAGCATGAGAAGCATCTGTATATGGGGTTAGATACAGTTCGGATTTTTTCTCTGTGTATTTGTTTAATTGGGATCGCCAGTTACAGGTGTCTGATGACAAAATACTTTATCCTGATTTACTCATAAAGGAGATGGATGAGTAAGACTTCTATTTCAGAATATCTTTTCTCTGAGGGCTTTCAACCCACTTAGCTATAGATAAGTCACTAATCCTCACCACCTATCTAAGGCAGACTTGGGCACTTTGATTTCAAAAGAGAAGTATTAAGGCACAGAGATGAATGCATCATGTACAGGCCACCTAGCTGCCTTGTGATATTTACAGTTCACATTTTCAGCTCTGTGGGCCCTGAATTCTTGAATTTCTTACTCTCTGATTTTCACTGATCTTCATAATGTCCTTCTCCACAGAGAAAGCCACTGGCTGGCCTCACAGCTCTTCTAAGCATATGCTTAAAACCCAAACCAAAGCAACAATAAACCCAAACCAGCCAAGCAAAAGCCAGATTATTTTCTGCACCAGCTAAGGCCATTGCCTCTTTTTAAAATTAACATGTTTATTTTGAAACAAAATCTACAGAGAAATGCATAACATCTGCATTTACAATTAAGTAAATGGTTGGGAAGTATTTCCTCTGTAACCATTCCCCCCAGCCCACATATTGCTAGCACCCAGAAGCTCCCTCCTTATATATTTTTGCAATTGTAACTATATCTAGTTTTTAACATCTAATTTTTTCTAACTGTACATATATAATCTTCTCATAGAAAATTTGGAAGATACAAAAAAAAAAAAAAGAAAAAAGAAAAAATAACTTCATAGTCCTGCCCTGCAGGCATAACTATAGTTAATGATTTGGTGCGTTTTCTTCAGTTTTTTTTCCCTTTAGTGTGAGAGCTGATTACATTGAATGGTAGCAATGATTGCTTTATGGGGTGGTTCTTGGATCTTGGGGTGAGTGAGTTGATTGGCCAGTGGACTGGGTTATATTTAGGAAAGAGGATTCAGAATGATGCCTCTTTATAGTTGGGAAGAGATAAATTGAAGGTGGGAATAAATGACTTCTTTGATTGGATTAGGGCAGAGAGCTTGAATATAGTTAGGTTTTAGGGTGTGTAGAAGGCTATGTTGCCTTTTAGTCTTAGGCTTTTGGATAACAGAGGTAGTGTTAAGTACTCTTAGTACTTCAGGAATAGCTTCCCATAATATTCAGATAAGGTTTTTTTTTTTTTCTTTTTTTGAGACAGAGTCTCGCTTTGTTGCCCAGGCTGGAGTGAGTGCCATGGCGTCAGCCTAGCTCACAGCAACCTCAGACTCCTGGGCTCAAGTAATCCTGCTGCCTCAGCCTCCCAAGTAGCTGGGACTACAGGCATGTGCCACCATGCCCGGCTAATTTTTTCTATATATTTTAGTTGGCCAATTAATTTCTTTCTATTTATGGTAGAGACAGGGTCTTGCTCTTGCTCAGGCTGGTTTTGAACTCCTGACCTCGAGCAATCCACCCGCCTCAGCCTCCCAGAGTGCTAGGATTACAGGCGTGAGCCACCGCGCCCGGCTCTCAGATAAGGTTTTGAGCAGCAGTTGTGTTCTTTATTTTGGTTGATTGGGCTAATTATTCTGTTTGGAATATTCTTGACACAGCAAACTCACAATCTCTCTTTCTCATTCTGTATTCATCTGTTAATTCTTCTATCTATCTATTCATCTATCCATCTATCTAATTTTTAAATTTTTTAGTAGGAAAGTCATATACAGGACACAAAATTAAAAAGGTACAAAGGTATGTATGATGAAAAGTGACTATTAATATTTGGATTAATTAATATCTGGATTAATTGATGAATATCTGATTAATAGTCAAATGTAACATTCTGTTAATCAGTATTACAGTAGTAGATCAGATGTTGCTATGCATTGAATTTTAAATATAGAAAATTATATAATGTTGATTTAATATTTATATATCTGCTTTTAATTAATTTAGTCAATGCACTGGGCTGTCAAAAGTAAAAAAGACCTGATGCTGGAAGAACCTGACCAGATCCATGCTAACAAGATTGAAAATGAGGAATGGAAAAAGCAAAGAGAAATAAAGAAAGAGGAGCTGACTTCAACCACAGAGAAAATGGAGCAAAAAGAAGAGCCCCTGGAGAAGTCAGTCTCCTCGCAAAATCCAGATTCTTCAAGTAAGCCATGTCATACAACTTTGCAGAATGGAAAGTTCTGAAATTAAAGAGCTTGGTTTATATTGCATTTATTCTCAACCTTTTCCAATCTGCACAGTAGTGCCAAATTTATGGACTGGTTTAGCATCTTAAAAGATGCTTATTAATACTTAGCATTGACACAGAAACCAGAAGATGCATACATTTCTTTGCAAGGGAAACTTTGAGACATTTCTGAGATTGTTTTTTGCTTTACTGAAATAACACTAGCTAACATGCATTGAATGCTTGCTACGCACAGGAACACTCTTTTTATATATTACTTTACATTTATTGTCTCATTTAATATTAATTTTACATATATGAATTCATTTAATCCTCACTATAAGCTTGTGAGGTTGGTATCAATATTATTCTCATTTATAGATGAGAAAACTGAAGCCCAGGGAGGCTGAGTAATTTACTCAAGGGTATACACCTTGTATGTGGCAGGGAAGGGGTATGAACCAAGACAGTTTGGCTTCAGAGTTTGTGTTCCGAGCCATCGCGCTATCCTGAGATGACATCTTATCTGTAAGTAGCTCTGTAGACATTCTGAATCATTTATAGATCCATTGAAACAGGGTAATATAGAAGTTCAACCGCTGGCTCCCAAGCTACGCTAGCTACCTGAGTTCTCATCCTGGCTATAGTACTTATTATCTTTATAACTTGGAAAAAGTTACTTGACTTCTTTAGACTTCAGCTTCCTCATACATAAAAGAGGGATTTTGTACTAGTACCTTCTCAGCTGGGCACTGTGGTGCATGCCTATAGTTCCAGCTTCTTGCAGGGCTGAGGTGGGTGGATTGCTTTAGGCTAGAAGCTATAGTATGCTATGATCATGCCTATGAATAGCCACTGAACACCAGCCTGGGCAACATAGCGAGACTCTGTCTCTGAAAAAAACAAAAAACACACCTTCTCATAGAGTCACCGTAAAGATTATGGGGAGATCTATCCAAAATGCTTAGTACAGTGGTTCCCCCATGGCAGGCCCTGGGTAAATGATAGCTGTTGTCATTTCTTTGTCTGCCCATCTCTCTAGCCATCCAACTGTGTTAATTTAGTTCAGGTGTGTTATATACACTCATTGTAACTGTCCTTCAAATTCTTATTTGTTGATTCTCAGGGTTGTGACATAGCACTCCATTAGGATTCAGCCTTTAAGCAGAAGATTCCATCAAACACTTGTATAAAAAAAGAAGATAATTAGATAGTTTGTGGTGGATTATAGTCTTTCTGGAAATAGTCACTTTGGATCTATGGGAAGAAGTTTACATCCTCTTTTCTTGCTGGGAATGAAGATTCTTAAGAGTTTGATTCAGGTGTCCCTGCTGGTTACCCAAGAGACTCTGTGGAGTCTGCACTTAGATTGCATCAGCCTGGTAATTGGACATGGTTATAATATAACAAACTGATCAAAGCGGAAGCCAAATTTTAGAAAAACAGTGTTTTAAGCAACCACATGAGTATAAACAACACCCCACCCCCATGCAAACATGGACAAACCTGCAAATGTTTCTCCTTTCAGCCCTGGAATGGTCAGTTCTGTGAACTGAACCCTTAGGGGTTCCCTTAGTCTTTCTGTTTCAGTCAGGTTCAGACCAAGTCTGAGTTTACCAGAACTGGGGGTGGGTGAGGGATACTTCAGAGACTCAAGCATGATGCTGAGGCCTCACTTGAGCTCACCTCACTTGAGCTCTTTTCATAGGATTCTATGAAATTTTCTTTCTTTCTTTTTACAAAATAGTTATTTAGATTTTGGAAAACAACTCACAAGTAATATGGGTTTGTTGTTAAAATATTCAAATAATCATATATAGACAATAACTCAGTGTCTACCCCAGTCTCCCATCCTTCTCTGCTTCTACTTCCTGAAGTAACCGATGCAGATTCTCAGGTGTATTTCCCTCCACACTGTTCTCTATGCTAATACAAGTGTATAAAAGTGTAGGTACATTATGAGAGCTTTAAAAATAAAGAATGGGGGCTGGGTGCCATGGTTCATGCCTGTAATCCCAGCACTTTGGGTGGCCAAAGCAGAAAGATTGCTTGAGGCCAAGAGTTTGAGACCAGCCTGAACAAGAGTGAGACCCCATCTCTACAAAAAATAGAAAAATTAGCTGGGTGTGGTGGCACATGCCTGTAGTTCCAGCTACTCACGAGGCTGAGGCAGCAGGATCACAGGAGCCAAGGAGTTTGAGGTTGCTGTGAACTATGATGAGGCCACTATACTGCAGCCTGGGCAACAGAGTGAGACAATGCCCCCCCTCTCCCCCTCCCCCCCCCCCCCCCCCCCCCCCCCCCCCCCCCCCCCCCCGCTAAAAAGGGGGGAGATTATACTATGCACATGGCTCTGTGTTACCCAGTGGTTAAGAGAGCAGACCTGAGCCAGATCCCAGCTTTCATTTGATGAGTTGTGTGACCTTGGGCAAGCTGGTTAACCTCTCTGTGTCTGAGTTTTCTTTTCTTTTTCATTTATTTTGTTGCGGCATGTGTACAGCTAGTGTTACAGCTCTTGACTGGGGAAAGAACCAAGCGGCACACGAAGAGTTGGAGAACAGCCTTTATTCTTCCACAGCAGGCTCAGCACACCTAGTGTTACAGCTCTCGTCATGTCTTCCGATCTTCTGACCCTTCTGCCCCCCCTTCCTTGTTCTCCTGCTTTTATACTCTTGGGAGGGCTCAAAAAGCATCCAATCAACTATAAGCTTTAACATCCAATCAACATCAAGCTTTAACATCCAATCAAAAACAGTGGGATTCAAAAATTACCCAATCAGTATCACGCAAGCAGTGTGGCTGCAAGCAGGCAGTGGTGGGGCCCGGGCTGCTCTCTGCCACGGGGCCGGCCCCAGCAGCGTGCCCTCCAACTGGCCACGCAGCGCTGGCCTGGGTAGATGCAGAGCTACAGGGAGGCAGCAAGCGGCCCCCGACATTTTCCGCATCAATTTATTTAGACAGGGTTTATTTAGACAAATCCTCCTTCCTTGGCCTCCCAAAGTGTTGGGATTACAGGTGTGAGCAATTGTGCCTGGTCCATCTTTACTATTTTTAAGTGTGCAGTTCAGTGGGAATAAATGGTCAAAATATTAGTATCTACTTTGCAACATTTTTTTTGAGGCGTAAATAACTTAATACATATAAAATATTTAGACCAGTGCCAGGTACATGGTAAACAGTAAGCACTTTTTTAGTGTTAGCTTTTATTATTATGGAACTTTTCCTTAGAGCCTTACATTCAGAATGAATTCATTCTTTTAAACAGCTGATAATATTCCACAGTGTAGATATATATGTGTGTGTGTGTATATATATATATCTTAGTATGTCAAAGTCAAATAAAAATATAGGGATGAATCTTTATGCAAAATATTTTATTTGGGAAAATATACAAAAACAGAATTGCAGTTTAGGGTATACACACAGACCGGGATGGTCTTTGGTATGTATGTCCAAAGAACAAAGAGCAGGTTGGGGTTTTATTAGAAAGAAAAGTACTGTGTATTGTTTTAAAAGAAAACTTTCTGGCACTAGTGAAGTTTTTGGGAGCCGGTAAGCTCTGACTGGTGAGTGACGGCAGCAGGGAAAGCTAGCCTTAAAGGCCCAGCAGTTCCAGCTCATTTCAGCAGCAATTAGGTAAAACTGGTCTTAAGGATATAGCAGTCATTTTGGCAGCTGGCTTGAGATGTAATCCCTGGGCAGGTGCTTGTGTCCTGAGTGCTTTGCTTTTCCTCCCCTGGGTTTCTCGACACTAACCTAGTCGGGTATGACAAGATAACTCCAATTCATGTAATCAGTTTTCACACAAAATTAACTCAGAACAAATTGTGATGCCACTTTTGATGTCCTCATGTTGTGAAGTAGGTGCTCTTACTGTGTTTTAAGAAGAAAGTGGAGGGGGTTGCAGGAGGGAGGATCATTGTTCTGAGAAGCTGTAGTTGAATTTTTTTACCAGTATTTTCCTCATGCTATTTAAGAGATTATTGGCTCTTCTTAGTAGTGCCTTAAAGCTGGAGTTTGATATATCAAAGTGCAGTTGCATGATTATTTATAATTTCATTTTACTGCAGTGTAAACTTTTATAGCATCCAGTATTTAAGACATATTATTCATGTCAACTTTACCAAGCCCTGAGTGGCTTCTTATTATATATTACTCTTCAGCATATTTGTTAATTTCCTCAAGCAGTGCTTGATATTCACTTTGGAGTTCGCCTTTGATGTCTCTTCTGTGATGAATAGCTGCTAAATAGTCCCTATCACATTCTGACTCTTCATGGCAACTGGTAAAATATGGAGCACAGCATCTGAAAACTGGTGTGCAAGACAATCTCTTTTTACTTTCTTTCTGTTTAAATATGCAACAAATGTGACTTCTGATAGATACAATTCTAGAACCAAATAGTTTTGTGTAACATCCTGGAGTTAAAAAAAAAACAAACAAACTCAAATATAGCCGATGCTATTGGTGTGCTGCCATATCCCTGGGCACCTACCTTCCCAGGCATTGCCAATTCTATGGCCTCTACCACAAATATTGGGACTGCCAGAGGGCTTTCTCTGGCAATGGAGCTTGCTTGGCAGCAAACGAGCAGGCAGTACGTGCCAGGGAATAAACGCCCTTTGGATGCAGTCATCAGACAATAATGAATGGGAATGGGAGGCTAAATTCCCCAGCTGCTTCACCCCTCAAATGGGATAACTCTGAGAGATTTATATATTGTCTCCCAGGGTTCCCCAGTGCGATCAAGCACCAGTCGCTCATGGTGGTAAATTGTTTGATAATGTACCTTTTGTAGATTTGGTTCCCTTTCTCATTCCTCCACCAGAGCCTCCTGGGATCACCTCCTAAATTAGCCACTTTGTTTCACATTCTTGTCTGGGTGTCTATTTCTTGGGGAACCCAAAGTGGAAACTACATCTTTTTAAAACTCTTAAACTGACATTTACTATAGAAATGTGAGAAAATATGGTCAAACAAAAGGAAGAAAATACAATAGTTTGGTATATTTTCATTTATGTTAGTATACCTAAAACTAATAGTATCATATTGTATATATTTTGTGAGTAAGTTTTAATTATGGGTGATTTCCTTCTTGCTTTTCCCTCACATGGATATTCACCAGATTTGTTTTTTCTGATAATGCCTTAAAAAGTGCAAACAAATTTCTGTTTTCCTAAGATAACCCTGTCAACTATTCTGTGTATATTTTTCCTGGCTAGATATTTAGGTATTATTTTAAAATATCAATGAAAGCATACTTTATATATTATTCTGTAACTTGCCTTCTCATTAGCAATGTTATAAATATTTTAAAAAGACACAAAGAATACTTGTTTATTGCAGAAACATAAGAAAGTACAGATAAACCAAAAAAAGAGTATAAAAAATGAAAATCACACCTATTTCAACTAGCTAGGGATACATGCTGTTAACATTTTGGTGTACTTCCTTTTAGACTTTTAAAATTTTTCACATCAATATGTAAATAATGAATTTAGGAATGAGATCATACTGTATAAACTATTTCCTGTCACCTAGCAATATGCTATGAGCATTTTTCCATGACAGTAAATATCAAAAGACTGTTAATGACTATATTAAAACCTTTTAACCAGCCTTCTTTTGCTGAAGATTTAGATTGTTTATTGATTTTTAAAAAACATTTATAAATGGTATCTTCATAAACATCTTTATAGTTAAACCCTTGGACACATCCATTATTATTTCCTTAGGATAAATTCTAGAAGTGGAATTATTGGGTCAGAGGTTCATACATTTTAACAAGTTTGATAAATATCGAGTTCTTCACTTGAAGAGTTTTGCTAATTTACACTTCTAGTAAAGAAGGAAAATGACCTTTTTTCTTTAATTTTCAATAATGTTGTTTATTATGATTTAAAAAAGTCTTATTATGGAGGAATTCAATTATAGTACTTGTATTTCCAGTGATCCTTTACCATTGAGCTTTCACTTTTTGAAAGATTTTTTGAAAGCTGTTTTCAGTTTCTTTGCAGATGAATTATCATGACTCCTACCACTGCAGGCATCTATAAATTTCCTTTTATTATGAAGCATTTAACTATGTGAGGTCTTCTCATCCATATATATTGTGATTCCTGTTCATAAGAATACCAAAGTCTGCTTAAATGAATCAGTTTCTGTAGGATATTAATAATTCATATCTCATATTTTACTTATTGCAGTGAAATCTTATCCCCAAGCTGTTTTATTATAACAAGGCTGACTTTTATTTTCCTACCTCTGATTTTAAATATTTCTTTTCTCTCTGTTAAAGGTTTTTCAGATGTGAACTGTTGGCATCTTCGTTTCCGCTGGTCTGGGGATGCTCCTTCGGATCTCCTGAGGAAGTTCAGAAACTATGAAATATGAAATGTCCCTGCTCCATAAAAGAGGGAGAGCAGGAGTGTCCCCTGCACTGCCAACACACAGTCTTTGTTCATATCTTAAAAATGTTATGTTTATATGTCGTGCTTGTGAATTGTTGAGTGTACCGATTGATTTTTCCATCCTTGAACCAGTTCTCTTGTTTTTCAAATGAGAAAATATTCAGAAGACTGGCTTCTTTCAACATTTGAATAGATTAAGCCTCTTAGATCCAGAGTAGACTGTATTATATTCTTTTTCCTGTTATTGCTATTTATAAAAATCCATATAAAAATCAATCTCTGCACAGTGTATTTAAATGTTGCATTGATAGACTGTGGTCTCTATTAGTGCTGGATGTACGGAAAGACGTTTTCTGACTCTTGACTTAAAATGAAATGTGAAATTACTTGTGTAAACCACATAGAGTGAAATAAATAATTTCCTCAAAGTCCATAAATGAATTTATAATTCAACTATATTTTTAAAATAATTTGAATAGACATTTCTACTTTAATAATTGTGAATTTAAAAGGCTATGATTTATTTGAGGAAATGATATGGTTTTAAAGGTTTCTTGTGTATAAGCAAGTGATCAATTATAAATGATGTTCTAACTATGAAAATGACCTGTTAATAACCTGTAAATAACCTCTTTAGTTTGGAATTCTTTTGGGCTCAAGCAATCCTGCCTCAGCCTCCCAAGTAGCTGGGACTACAGGTGCACATCATTGCTCCTAGTGAGGTTGAAATTCTCGATGGTAACATGTAGTCTTTAGTTACTCTTTAGTTTGGGAACAAGTGGATGAAAAAGTAAGAAGAAAAAAAGATTTTAGAGTAGTTTCCTTAGTCAGTGACACTGGTCTTCACAACCATAAAGAGAATATAGCAAATGCTATGGTCTGAATGTTCGTGTCTCCCCTCCCCAAATTCATATGTTGAAATCCTAACGCCAAAGGTGGTGGTTTCAGGAATTGGGGCCTTTGAAAGGTGATTATGTCATGAGAGCCCTCATGCATGGGATTAGTGCTGCTATAAAAGTAAATTGGGGCCGGGCGCGGTGGCTCACGCCTGTAATCCTAGCACTCTGGGAGGCCGAGGCGGATTGCTCGAGGTCAGGAGTTCAAAACCAGCCTGAGCAAGAGCGACACCCCGTCTCTACTATAAATAGAAAGAAATTAATTGGCCAACTAATATACATAGAAAAAATTAGCCAGGCATGGTGGCCCATGCCTGTAGTCCCAGCTCCTCGGGAGGCTGAGGCAGGAGGATCGCTTGAGCCCAGCAGTTTGAGGTTGCTGTGAGCTAGGCTGACAACGCGGCACTCACTCTAGCCTGGGCAACAAAGTGAGACTCTGTCTCAAAAAAAAAAAAAAGTAAATTGGAAGAGAAACTTCTTGTGTCCTTTCTACTGTGTGAGGACATGGCAAGAAGGCACCATCTATGAGCCAGAAGGTGGGCCCTCACCAGACACTGAATCTGCCTTGATTTTGGAATTCCAATCCTCCAGAACTGTGAGGAATACATTTCTGTTGTTTATAAGTTACCTGGCCTATGGTACTTTGTCACAGTAGCCTGATGGACTAAGCAAAGTTTAAAAAAGCTAAATATATTCAGTATAAAGAGTGTTCATTATTCAGAAGTTATGTCCTTCCTACTGTTGTGGTTTAAAATGTGTTTCCTTTTATGAAATGGTGTCAGAGTAGATTGTATTAGTTTGCTAGGGCTGCCATAACAAAATACCACAGACTGGATGGCTTAAACAACATTTCTCACAGTTCTGGAGGGTAGAAGTCCAAGATCAAGGTGTCAGTAGGTTTGTTTTTTTCCTGAGGCCTCTCTTGGCTTGTACTTGGCCACCTTCTTGCTGTGTCCTCATATGGCCTTTTCTCTGTCCACGCACATCCCTAGTGTCTCTCCCTTTACTTATAGGGACACCAGTCAGATTAGATTAGGGCCCACCCTAATGACCTCATTTTAACTTAATCACCCCTTTCAAGACCTTATCCCTAACTAAGGTTGCATTTTGAGGTACTGGAGATTGAGACTTCAACATATGAATTTTAGGGGAACACAGTTCAGTCCATAACATAGATGAAGACTTAAAAAAAAATTAATACAACTCTGTGCTAGTTCCCTTAATTTTATTTGAATTTTAACTGTTAAATCCACCTTACCCAGCCAGTACCAGACCTTTTATACTTAAACACGCACTCCCCTGAACTTAAAGTTTAAAAAGGGAGGAAACTGTGCTTTGATAATGCAGTCCTTTGAATGGAAAATAAGAGGAAAACTGGACTTTTCTTCAGTAATTTGGCTCAATTCCTTAGTGTGTTCAGCATAACCACAATTGGATGTTCAGATATGTAATAGCACACTTTCAAAGCCACTTATTTTTGCATTGTCGCTCAACTTCATGCCATAGCAAATTGATTATGAAAAGATAATTTTACTTAAAGATTATCGAGCTCATAAATCAGCTCTAAATGGTGAAGATAATTAGTTTCTTCCATATTAGATTCTGAATGAATGAATGAATGAGGCACATATTTCTTGAGAACATTACTACGTGATGAATACTGTACTAGCATTTGCATAGGACATAAAGGACTTAAGTTTATACTCTCAAGGAGTTGATATTCTAGTGAAGTAAGACAGGTATGTGAATATCTACAGCTTAAAAAGGAGTATATTCAATTAGTTTAAATATATAATGTGCTTAGAACATGACTAGTAAATACTAAGTTACTATTCTTACTATATTATTATGTGTTTAAGTTTTGCATTAATTAGTAGAATTATGACTTCCCTTAACTTCTTTTCTCCAGTTGGATCTCAGAGGCACTATTTCTTGCATATACATACTATTTTCTTAGATATCCTGTGTATTTACACACATGTATGTACTTCTGTTCTTTACACAAATGGTAGGATATTATATTTACTGCCATATACCTTCCATCTACTCAGTTAATATAGCTTGGAGATTTTCCATTTTAGTACAGGAGTGCTACTTTATTCTTTTAACCTGCTACATAGCATTCCATTGTTTGGATGAACTATAATTTATTTAACTTGTTTTCTACTGATGCCTTTTCAGGCTGTTTGCAATCACAAATAACACTGTGATTTGTAGAAAGTATTGCTGGTATGTGAAGTATACCTGTAAGATAAATTCCTAGCACTGGAATTGTTGGATCAAAGAGTATGTATGGGCATTTAGAATTTGATTACCATATTCTTAAGCAAACAACAGATGTAATTTGGCAGGTTTCAGAGATGCTAAAGACATTGGAATGAAAAACCTAGGAAAGAATTCTTGTTCATTAGGATTCTTGCCTTTAGTTTTTTTAGTCTAGGCTAGACTTTGTTGAGTGGCTCAATCTGAAGCACTGTGCTTATGGAATAGTTTACCCATCACCTTCCCTAACCCCTAGTACCAGGGAGTGCCCAAGATATAAAGTAATAATAAAACCAGAGTGCACATTTCTTCTGGCACCTTCCACAGAGAGAGGAGGAGAGAACAGGACTTTTTTCAATGCTGTGGCTACTTTCCTTGTGGGTGTCCTGAAAAACAATTCTGAAACATTTTTGCTCTTTTAAGTAAAGGACAACTCTGGAAAACCTAAGCAGAATTCACAATTTCTCATGAAGCTAAATAATTTTCAGTACCCAATGGACATAGTCCTAGCCTGTCAAAAATATGCCCATTGATGAGCAAATTAGAAATGCAAAAAAGACTTTGTAGATATTTCTTATATATCAGAGAGCTGGATAGGGAGAAGATAAGGTTGTTTTCCTGCTTATGAATTTTCATATCCTTTCTCTGCCCAGATCTGATGGTGGTTACAAGATCAATCACAGCAGCAAGTGTTGATGACTAATACAGTTATTGAGAGGGGTCTTTAATTTCCTGGAGGCAAACACCATTACCCGCCACCTCCACATCACAGACAGCAGATGCCAAGACTACTGGGGAGTTAGTGATGGAAGAAATTATAAAACTGATGCAATTACTGAGAAAATGATGAAATGTCTCACAATGCCAGGCTTCAATTCCTTTCAATTTCAGGTTTTGTGATATGATCAGTGTGGCCTTGTCTTCAGTATTATTACTTCTCTGCTCTCTGTGTCACCTCATCCTCATTGTGGGAACAAGTTTTGCATCAGGCAGCTCATTCTCATCTTTTCTCTTTCCACTGGGGCTCTTTTGTCTCTTCCAATGATTTTGCTTTGATTATTTCTTATATTAATTGTAGAATTTAAGTTAGGTTTGTGGAGAACTGGATCTTTCTCTGGCTCTAACTTATTGTGGGACTTAGGGGCAAATGACTTTAGCTCTCCGATCCAGTTTTTTCTACCTGTGGCTGAATAAAAGGATCTCCCTCTTGGGGAACACAGGAGCTGACAAGGACCAGACCCAGAGTTGGCCAGTTTAGGACCTTGGGCAGGAGCCAGGACAGTGTGGGAACTGGCGAGGAGTGTGTAGGCCAAATGTAGACGTGAAAGATTATTGAGGACAGGGAAGGCAGAAGGATGTGTCTTCTCCATCATTCCCTTCTAATAACTCTTCCTTCCTGTTCTTTTAACTGAAAGGGCAGAGATAGAAAGGAAAATATTACAAAGTACATCTATATATACCAGCCCCAAACACCTCAATTATCTTTTCACATTCAGCTGAGTTTGATGTCATTTTTGATAGCATCACACTTCTAAAGACAATGGTGAAGTTTCAATATTAAATACTTTCCAGCTCATTAGACTATTAGTGGAGGCTCTAAAATAGGGTCTAATAATAATGCTAATTGTAACTATTATCTGTAATAGTTTCCAGAGCATTTCCTCATGTATCTTGTTTGAACCTCACAACTAACCTCATTTTCTTGAGGAAATTGTAGCTTTTGTTACATTCTAAAACCCACAATAGAATGGAAAACAGATTTTTTTTTATTCTATTTTTTTTTTAAACCATTGATTCTTAATTTTAGATTCACCTGGGGAACAGGAAAACCCTGGTTCTTACCTGTGACATTGTGAAATATACTTTTGATCTTTGTTACTGTTTCTTCCCATACAGCTCCCATACAGACCCTTGGGATCTCTGTAGTGATTATTTTGTATGTGAATGAGATGACTGGTGGTGGCTGGGGGCCCCTAGACAGCTTCCAGATGGGGGCTGGTCATTGGAAAGTTGGGACTTTTCAGCCCTACACCTCAGGAGAGGGGTTGAAGGTTAAGCTGATCACCAATGGCCAACGATGTAATCAATGACACCTACATAATGAAGCCTTCATAAAAACTCAAAAGGACAGGGTTCGGGGAGGGGCTTCCGGAGAGCTGAACGCAGGGAGCTTCCTGGAGGGTGGCCCTTCCTAGAGAGAGCATGGAAGCTCCTCACCCCTTCCCACATGGTCCCATGCTTCTCTTCCATCTGGAAGACTATCTTGAGAAAACAAAGAAAAATAAACTATATTAATTTTTCCTCAATTTCTGTCTTTAGGTCGACAATCTGTATCCTTTGTAATATCCTTTATAATAAATAGGTAAACACAAGTAAAGGATTTCCTTGATTTCTGTGAGCCTCTCTAGTAAATTAATCAACCTGAAGGGGAGGTCAGGACCCCTGATTTATAGACCGTGTGTCAGACCCACAGGCCACAACTGGAGACTTGTGATTGGAATCTGCAGTGGGAGACAGTCTTGTGGGACTGAGCCCTCTGCCTTGCGGGATCTCACGCTATCTCCAGGTAGCCAGAGTCACAGTTAAATTGAATTCGAGGACTCCTTGCCACAGAATCTGCTGGAGAATTGATTGGTTGCTGGTGGGGAATAATCTCCATACATTTAGGTGACCAGAGGACAAGCATTCTGCATAAGAGAAAAGGATAGGAAAAACGCTTTGGTTTTTTCTGTATCTCAGTACCATCCCCACCATCCCAGAGATTTTGATTTTATTGTTTTTGGATAGGAATTTTACAACTTTAGGTAATTCTAATGTGTAGCTAAGATTGAGGGCCCCGGTGACTTAAACAAATACAGGTTGTCAGTGAAATGGTTAATGTCTTGATGGCTCTTTCTCTTCCATGCCACCAGTTATT